GACATGGCTGGCCCTTGACTTTCCAGACACACTTGATGTCATAGCAGCCATCATCCCGATCTGGCGAATGAGTTTAAGATTCCCCCTCTGGGAGTGCATCTGATCACCAGGGAGCTGCTCCTGCACACCGTGTTTGCACCCCGCACGCCCCATCCCACCTGAGTGCTGCTGAGCCCACGGCCCGTCACCCGGTGGGGCGCCTGCCCACGGAAGCCCAGATGGGCCGCCACGCTCGCTGCCCGCTGCATCGTGGCCTGGACCGCGGGCCGCGCTGAGGCCACCGCGGTCGGGGACGCTGGGAGATGTAGTCTGGCCCCTGGCCAAGCCCGCCTCTCCCCACAAAGGGGATCAGAAGGGGGGTGGGCAGCCCCGAGGGCAGGCGGGGCTTCAGCGCACCCGGTACAGTGAGTCCCAGCGGCAGAAAAACAGCCCCGGGCGCTTCCCCCAGCCTCGGGCGGGTGGGAGGTGCCAGTTAAGCTGCTCGGAACTGAGCCAGGGGCCAGGCCTCCCCCTGCTGACTGCCCAGCCCCCTGGGGTCAAAGTTCAGACAAAGGGCTGAGAGGCTTGAATGGCATGTCCCGGACAGCAGAGGCTAAGGTCAAGGGAGAGGAGGGGGAGAAGTGGAGGACACAGGAGGGGAGCCAGGGCACCACGGGAACCTGGCCATGGGGGTCTCCAGCTCCCCGCGGGCACACACGGGCGGGCAGCAGGCACGCATTCCACAGTGTTTATTGATCTTGCTGCACACTGGGCCCCGTGCGGGGACCTGCCTCATTAGCAAAAGCTGAGCAGAGCTAAGTCAATGGAGCTGAGGGGCCGCGGGTAAAACCCTGCCAGTGAGAGAAGGTGCCACCAGGCGGCTGACCTTCCCCGGAAGCTGTGGAGCCACACAAACACCTCCTTTTCCAGGTCCAACACTTGCCCTGTTGCCTCCTACAGCCACCAGGGCAAAGCCAGGACACACACACACTGTACACATACACATACACACACACACACACACACACACACACACAGGGCAGCAGCTGCCTTACTCAGCACTGGCTGGGGGGTTGCTGAGAGCCTCAGCCTCAGCCTTTTAGGGTCCCAGTGAGAACCCTGGCCGGGTCCACCTCCCACCATGAGCCCGTCACCGGGTATGACTTTTGGAAGGAGGCAGCTGGGAGACGGGACAAGGATGTACTTGGGCTGCGTCAGATGGCAAGCAGGTCCGAGGGCTCGTCCTCAGGCCCCGGCCTTGCCACAGGCTCCTGCTCAGGCCAGGTGGGCAGACCCACTTGAACACACACCCAAGAGCCGGCTCAGAGACCAGGGCTCCCGCGGCCCCGGTCGCCAGCTCCGCTCCCAGGCAGGCAGCAGGTGTTCGGACAGGAACCGCCTCTGTGGGCGCGACACGAACGGAAGGAAGGCCACTAGGGCTCCTGCTTCTCCCTGGGGCTTCCGGCCTCAGTGCCATGCAGAGCATTTGAGGTCCTGCTTCCTGGCATGTGGTCAGTTTGGCTTAAATAAACTAAAAAATTCTTGTAATAAATAGAGTGCCATGGCGACAGCAGCCGCCCAAGGGTGGACAGGGCCGGTGTGAGGAGGGCGCCCGGCCCACTGCGCTCAGGGCAGGGGGCAGCAGAGGCAGCAGTGTGCGTGTTGGCAGGAGGGGCCCCGGGAACACAGGGGTTCTTAGTAAGTGGAAGTGGAGTGTCGTGAGGGCGGGGAAAGGAGTTTCGGGTCGCAGTCAGGTGAGGACAGAGTGCACCCCACACCAAGCGCTCATGCTGAAGCGGCGCAGTGAGCCCCAAGAATCTCGACTCTGTGGACATGGCCCAGGCAGCAGGGGATGCAGGCGACACTCGGAATGCAGGGAGAGCACTTCGGCCTCTGACGGCCCCGAGCAGGCCCGGGCGGGCAGAGGGTCAACGTCTCGGGGAAGAGCCACGGCTCAAGTGTAGGAGAGCAAGTTCAGGTCGTAGCAGCCATCCACCTGCAACACAGATGGCCATCAGATCTGACCCTGACCGGCTCAGGGCCCCGGGGGCCGAGCAGAGGGCAGCGCTCAGTCACTCACATCGAAGCGGCCGATCCTCCTGGAGGTGCGACTGGCCCGGACCATCTCTGTCAGCGCCCACATCTGCTGCACCTCCGAGGACACCCTGCTGGGGTCCGGGAGGCCCTGCTCCGGAAGAGGGGTCAGTGGCCAGGGGTCTCCCCCAGCAGTGCCTTAGAGCTCCCGAGAGGCCAGGCTGGGCAATGGGGCCCTCCAGCGAGACAGTCACCTTCCCAGCCGGCTTGTGAAATATGAGGTTGGGGCCTGACGTGCAACCCCACACGGAGAGACCTCAAATCCCATGGAGCCCCAGGAGGAAGATCGGGAAGGTAGCACAGAGTGACCGGGGCCCCAGGTCCAGCCCCAGGTTCCTGCAGGGTGGGCCCACCTGGACATGAGAGCTACTCGAACGTGGCTCTTACGTGGCTCTTACCGGGGTGAGGGCTTACCTCCAGGAGAGGAGCGGGCTGCTCACAAGGCGCTGGGTGGGAAAGCCACTTGGGAAAGGTCATGGAGGGGCTCTGCAAAGCAAAGAGGGAGGAAGAGGGGGAGAGTCCTGGGACCAGTTCCCAAGGCCCTGGGGGCCTTGAACACTGAGCAAACCCTGCTCGGGGTCCACAAAGGCCCAAGGGCAGTCAGACTCCCTGAGATCTTCTGAAGGAGGCCCCAGCAACACAAGGAACAGAAGTGTCTCCGGCTCTGAAAGAGATGGCTGGCCCCAAAGATCAGGGGGGATGGGGGCACAGCGTCCCTCTCATGAGCTTCCAACGTTCCCACCTGGCTAACTTCCATGAAGGCCTCCCTCCGGGTCTCCTCATCTTGACCCCCCACCCCAGCTCTGCCAGCCACACTAGGGCCTCCTTGGGAAAGGGCCGGCCACCAGCCGAGCGAGTCCCTTACCTTTGCTCCCTGCTGGTAGACCTGCAGCTCCTCCACTGTGAACGACAGCCACAGGGGGGACGGCTGCCGCAGAATCAGGCGCAGCTCCAGCACTCTAGCCACGTCACACAGCATCTGACACACACACACAAGGCCCCCGGGAGCCCCAGCTCACTACCCGGAGCCTCCCAATGGGCAGGGAGCCAAGCTGCTGCCCCCCAGGCCTTTGGGAAAGAAAGAACAGTGGTCCCTCCAAGGCACTTCCCAAAGAGCCACAGCCCAGGACAGCCCTGCCCCCCCCCACCCCCCATCCATCCTGGTATCCTAGCCCAGTTCTCAGGCCCTGGCCATGCCCTGTCCCAGCTGACCTGGTGCTTGGACAGCGATACATACTCCTGAGCTCCCTCCTCGCTGTGTGGGTCCGGCATCAGGCAGTAGTCCCGCAGGCAGGTCACCCACTTGGCCTGTGTGTGTATCGAGCTGTACTGGCGGACACGGATGCTCAGAAAGGCTGTGTAGTAATTCTTAAACGTAATCTCCTGCAACTGCAACACACACACCACCCACCGTTACAAATCAGGCACAGGCCCGGGGCCTGAGAGCGGCTCAAAGGCACCACCGCCTCCTCCCCTTGGGAATACACTCCGCTTCCAATCTGATAAGCATCCTTTGAGGCTCAGTTTCACAGCCTAAATGCGGAGGTCACATAAACCACAACCGCAGACCTTGCCACACCCAGGATGCTGCCAGGGGTCGGAGCCCTAACCCTGGAGGAGGCACAACGTGTACACGTGAGGCCTGAGGGGAGGAGTTCACCCAGTGCACCGAGAAGGTAGAGGATGTGAACAGGTAGGATGTCTGGCTGCAGCAGTTCTCGTCACTGGGCACTCATCAGAATCACCCCCGGAGGTCTAAAAACATGTGCATCTAGGTGTACAGGCTCCAGCCAGACCTACTGCATCAGCACTTCGCAGCTTATACCTCAGGAACAGCATGGGGGAGAGCCACCCTCTATTGGACAGAGTGCACGGGGCTGACAGGTAGGCAGGCACAGACACAAAGCGGCCCTGAGTGCCAGGCCATCAGAAAGCGGATTTTAGCCCGGCCGGCGTGGCACATGCCCGGGTTGTGGGCTCCATCCCCAGTGTGGGGTGTGCAGGAGGCAGCCGATCAATGGTTCTTTCCCACCATTGATGTTTCTATCTCTCGCTCTTCCTCTCTGAAATCAATAAAAATATATTTTAGAAAAAGAAAACGGACTTTATCCTCTAAGTTGAAGTCCTGCGGTGTCCGGCCCCTGTGCCAGCTGATGTGGAAGTGCAGCCGGAGCCACTGGGGAAATCCTGATGAGCAGACTGGAGGCATGCGCAGGCGGCAGGTTTGGGGGTAACTCATTGTCTACTGATTCCCAGGACAAAATGACCTCACCTATCCTGGGCTCACAACTGTATTTCCAACACCTCGCCTACTACCTTGGCCCTTCCACGCCAGCGCTGTCCTAGACGTGGGGAGGGATGACGCAGAGAACTGCACAGGAAGCTGCCTTCTACTAAGTGTGTTAACTGAAGGAATGAACAAATGGTTAACTGATGCGCCAGGGCGAGGCCAGCGCCAAGCTTTGTGTAACCGATCGACCCAACGCCTGGGACACGCCCGGGTTCCCAGGTCAGTCCCGCCCAGGAACCACGGTCTCGCCCAAGGGGCTGGCTCACCTCGAAGGGTGCGACGTTGGGGAAGGTGACATCGATGACCAGCACGCCAGGCCGGCCCTGGGAGGTGCGCACATCGCCCACTTGCAGCGCCACGGTGCCTTTCACGTGGCAGGGCACCAACACGCGGGACATGGTGCCAGCTGTGCGGAACCAGCACAACCGCCGATCCCAGCCTGGGACCTCTGGTCCTTCCCGGCATCCCCAGCCCAGTCCCACGGACTACAACTCCCGGCAGGCCTCGCGCTGGGCCAGCCCAGCCAATCAGCAATGCTCAGGGCAGGCGGGGCGTCGGAAGTGCGCGAGAACGCTGCGCGAGAGCCACCGGGGACCCTGCCTAGAAACGGCCCGCGGCTTTGTCACCGAACCGTCTGCACCCGTCGCGTCCTGACCCCTTCCTGTTCCTGCTTCTGTGCAGGGGGGTGGGGGGTGGGGTCGTCAGTTAAAGCGTGTAAGCCATGAGCACGAATGATCATAAGAGCATGGCTGACATTAATTGCAAAAATAGATATAAATCCCCCCTTGTTATATTTTTTCCCATTGATTTTGTAGAGAAGGTGGAAGGGAGAGAGGAGGAGAGAGAAACATGGATGTGAGAGAGACACATCCATTGGTTGCCTCCAGCA